CTTTTGGCAAATGTGTACATAAACGAGTTTGAAAGGGAATTTGAGAAGTCATAACTGTAACCAAGAGTGCTTATGCAATATTTGGATGACTATTGCAATTTGGTCACATGGTAAGAAAAATCTAAATGAATTCCTCAATTTTATTAACCAACTTGATGAAAGAATTAAATTCACAATGGAGGTGGAGGAGGATGAACGACTACCCTTTCTGGATGTTGAAGTCATGCGCTCAAAAGGGACGCTCATGAGGAGACTATACAGAAAGAATTCATATGCGGGAATAATCCTTAATTTTCAGTCTCTGCAAAATTACAGACTGAAGATCAGAATACTGAGGAGTTTGATCATCGGAAACTTACGACTAACTGACACTAAGTTCTGGGACGAGGAGTTGGACCGACTGATTCGTATTTGCCTTAGCAACGGGTACAACTTAAAATTTGTAGAAATAAATGTAGGTGTCATAAAGAGCAGATTTAAACACGTATCTTGTGGAAATCCGATCAGGAATCAGGAAGACGACCAAAAGCGGATATGCCTGCTTTCATGTGACCTGAGCCAAAAATGGCGACCGTTACTAATAAAATGAAATATCAAGATGATAATAAAAGAGAAGACAACATTTTGCACCAGTCTGCCGACGCAACACGAGAAGATGAGCAAACTTGATTGCTCGGAAGTTTATCGCATTAAATGCGGCAACTTTGAGCAGAAGTATATCGGTGAAACAGGAAGAAAAATCGGCCTACGAATCAAGGAACATCAGAGACTCTGAAAAAGTGTGGATACGGAAAGATCAGAAATAACTGAACACATTGCACGAAAGGTACAAAAAATCTAGCGGAAAGCAACCAAAAAGCTGGCTGCAAGATCCGAGAGGCCACCGATATACTGACCGAGATCAATCTAATGAACAAGAAACGTGAAGAAGACAGGATCAACGAAAACTTTGCATAATGTCAAAACAAACTCGGAGGAGACCAGGCAACAGCAAGATCAGCAAAAGGAAGATGACTGGATCAAGATAATATTCTTAATTTTAGGAAAGGAGATTGAAGGGTGATGAGAAATGAACATTCAGAAGCAAAGAGGAGACGTCTTCAGTGATTATAATCAAAGCAAATAGAAGAACGACGACTAGAGCTGGTTGGCCAACGGTAGACGTGTTTCATCATGGCCGTGGTCCATGAAGCAAAGGCTTGACGATGAGAATCACTCGGGCTCTTTAACCTCAAGTCTGCCATACAGCTTGAGAATCCTTATTTTCAGGGGCCTACTCAGCTAGGCGGAAGTATGTGTGCCATCAAATTCTTGCGGCAGAGTGTGGGAAATAACGCATCGAGTAGCACAGATAGGGCGGCTGGAGTCGAGTGAAAGGCCCTAACCAGGGAGATAGGAGATGTATCCTACGGGGACTCTGATTGCATCTATGGGAAGAGGATTAAGGAATAATAGGGCAAACTCAGATCAGCATTCCTAGCACAATGGAAGTGGGGTGGGGTGAGAAAGCCAGCGTGGGGTGCGAAGAGGTCTCGTGAAATCCGCTTAAAAGGGCACATTATATCAGATTTATGCGAATAAAAGTTGGTTTTCGAGGACGAGTTTTCTTGACTCGTTAGCTTGCATTTTGTTGTGAAGATGTTACCTCGCTCTGATGATGTTCGTCATATGACGGAAGAAAGCTTAGCACCTTTTCACCGGAATCGAAGGAGATTGCCTCGGAAACAGCGTCAGCATGAATCTTCCGGTAAAGCCAATCGACAGCTGGTCAAGAGGAATGCGCCGTCGTCTTCTGGTGGAACCGACTTTCGAATCTTTTCACCCAACAATTTCACTCGAAATGCAATTAAGCTCAACAATATCACACTTAAATAAGCAATTAAGAAATTGTGATAGGGAATAGGTGGATTCCACAATTGTTTAGCAGAAAATTTGCCAAACAATCGACCAAGATGAAGTAGCCTCTATTTTGTTGGTACCCTCCTTTCGCTTTCTGTAATGGTTTGGTTTCGTTTGCGCAATTTGCTCGTGTTGCCAGTTGGATTTAGATCATTGTGATTTGATCGGACTCCTCTTCTACAGTGTTGGGGCTAATTTTCGTAATCTCAAAGTCGACTCGGTACTTGGGAACAAACTAAGTCCACAGTCCAGCATTGGACTCCAGATCCAGGTTGTCTTGACGACACGACGAATTAGCGAGTAAAATTTTAATTTGTAATTGCCCTCCCACATTTCCTCTATCATAATTTGTTCTACGACTTTGTCTGAAAACAGGTTCACGGAAAGCGATACGCCTACAAATTTGATTTCACCGGTCTAGCCCAAGCGATGCAACCACCGGCGCCGCCGACCTCCGTGACCAGCATCAATGGGGTACCTAACTCCATGAGCACCGGTGGCCACACCAAATCGCATATCCATTCACAAAACCACCACCAGGCTCATCAGATTGGTGGTGGTGTCGGCAGAAATGGCGTTTCCAATGCGACTGGCGCATCTGCGAGCACTTGTGCTTCATTCGCCTCTTCCGGTTCCGCCTCGACAACGGGGCTCACGAGTTGCTGCGG